AGCTGAAATATAGTCAAGTATTAAGCCTATCTCTGGGCCTAATGTCAGTTTTTGTGGTCTTACAGTTGTTTTCTTATTTTAAGAACTGTGACAGACCCAGACCAGTGGGGTACAGGAGTCCGGTAGAGGGCAAATATACTGGTCACTGGATGAGTAGTTTTCTGTTTCCTGAGTGACCAGAGCAGGGGCTGCACTAGAGTAATCAGAAACCTGCTAGAACCAGTTAAGGCAGGCAGGCTAATTAGGACACCTGGAGCCAATTAAGAAGAAGCTTCTAGAAGCAATTAAGGCAGGCTAATCAGGGCACCTGGGTTTTAAAAAGGAGCTCACTTCAGTTTGTGGTGGGAGTGTGAGGAGCTGGGAGCAAGAGGTGCAAGGAGCTGAGAGTGAGAGGGTGTGCTGCTGGAGGACTGAGGAGCACAAGCGTTATCAGACACCAGGAGGAAAGTCCTGTGGTGAGAATAAGGAAGGTGTTTGGAGGAGGCCATGGGGAAGTAGCCCAGGGAGTTGTAGCTGTCATGCAGCTGTTACAGGAGGCACTATAGACAGCTACAGTCCACAGGGCCCTGGGCTGGAACCCGGAGTAGAGGGTGGGCCTGGGTTCCCCTCAAACCTCCCAATTGACCTGGACTGTGGGTTCTCCCAGAGGGGAAGGTCTCTGGGCTGTTCCCCAACCCACATGGTGAATCTCTGAGGCAAGAAAATCCGCCAATAAGCGCAGGACCCACCAAGATAGAGGAGGAACTTTGTCACACAACATATTTTTTCCTTTCACCTGCTGCTGTGTTAGCACAGAGGAGATTGATCATACAAGGGGAATGCAGACTACTGTCAAATTCACCAAGTAAACAAACTGAAACATAGGGAAGTATTTTTTCTCTAATCTTTTAGTTGTAGAAGACTTTGGAAATACTTATAAATGTAGTAGGGGGAAATATTGCAGATGAAGCATGATTTTAAAAAAAAAAAAGTTGTCAATGTTCCTTTGGACAAGGCTGGAATACTTATTTTTGAAAAAAAGTGGTAATTTCTTGACGTTTGCCCTGAAACAAGTGGTAATGAAAATTGTTATCGCGGTGTGCAATTTTAATGTAATTCAAAATAAAAAGCTTAGATGTATTTTTCAGTTTTAAAAAGCTGAATTAATTTGATTGTATTTCTTTCCATAGTTAACTTGGGATAGATAGCTTGTGACCTTATGTTATGTCGCTGTGCAGGGAAGTAACACCTCCTCTAATCCTCTGCATGGCTGTGTAAAACCTATGTAGATCATAGGCTAGGGCGTGGCATAGACCACAATCCCAGCGTTCAAGATTCTGCCCCCTTGCTCCCATTTATGAGCAATTTGGTGGGGTGGGGATGGGAGTCTTGTCTCAGTCTCTCTCAGCAGATTAACTAACAGAGGTGGGCTGGTATAATGAGGGAAATAAACTGCACCCTGTAAAGTATTGTTGCAACTTTCCTCCAGGAGCAGGGGAAGAATTTTGACTGAGCAACAATTTATTTTTGAGGCTCCACTGGGGGTGGCACATCTATGTATCATTGTTTACTCAAGGCTGAGTTTTAAAAGCCTCTGAGCCTCAATCTAGCTCTGAATGAGACCAATGCATCCGAGGTGAAATCCTGGCCTTTCTGAAGTTAGTGAGGGTTCTGCCATTGACTTCACTGGAGCCAGGATTTCACCTCAGATGTTTTAGAGGTGTATGGCAAAAGTTCTAACTTGAAAACTTTGTTCATTAGATCATCTGCAGGGGGCGAGGGAGGGATAGCTCAGTGGTTTGAGCATTGGCCTGCTAAACCCAGGGTTGTGAGTTCAATCCTTAAGGAGGCAATTTAGGGATCTGGGGCAAAAATCTGTCTGGGGATTGGTCCTGCTTTGAGCAGGGGGTTGGACTAGATGACCTCCTGAGGTCCCTTCCGATTCTATGTTGTTTTTTCCATTCATATTTACCACTCGTATATCATTTTAATTTTTCAAGCAAAATAAAAAAACCTTTAAAAATATTGATTATTATTTTTTTTTCACCAACAATATTCTCTTTACAGCAAAGATTAAAAAATGAAGAGCTAATTCGATTAACTGAAGAAAGACGAAAAGAGGCTGAAAAACAGAGGAAAGAGGAGGAAGAAAAACAGAATGAACAACTTAGACAATATTATGAGCGAGAAAAAATAGCAAAGATGGAAGAGGAAAAAAAGGTGGTACACTTTAAGGACTTTCTAAAGTCTAAACATATGGTCCTATTTTATTTTTAGTAAGACAATTGCTAGAAAAATTGAATCATGGTAATAAACTGCAACTGTTTTCTAGCAGCTGCTGAAGGCCCTGTCTTCACTAGTCCTCCCTTTATATCTACCAACACCAGCAATGGTGGGAAATTTTGACAAAAAAGTCTAGTATATGCACAGAGAGACACGGTGGGTGAGGTAATGTTTTTTATTAGACCAACTTCTGTTGGTGAAAGAGACAAGCTTTCAAGCTTACACAGAGATCTTCACATCTGGGAAAGGTGCTTAGAGTCTCACAGCTAAATACAAGATGTAACAGATTGTTTATCATAAGAAATGAACACGTTGCAAGAGACGATTCCAGGTGAAGTGGGCAGTTAACACCTCTGCAGTCATAGGACAAAGGAGAGTTAGTGGGTTACAGATTATTGTAATGAGCCATAAATCCAGTGTTTTTACTGAGTCCATGATTTTTAGTGTCGAGCATAGTTATGAATTTAAGCTCTTCTGCACAATGCTTTAAAAAGATGAGCCTATTTCCTTTGAGTTTGAGAACTGACAGGTTAGATGTAGAATGATCATTTTGTGAAAAGTGTTTGCTCACAGGTAATATGGTGTTTTTGTCTTTTGTCATTTTTCTGCATGAGTTCATTTAAGAGCATAGTGATTGTCTCGTTTCAGTCACATGGTTGTTATTGGGGCATTTTAGTGCACTGGATGAGGTACCCCACTGTGACAGGATCCCCAGGGTACAACCTGGAACTGGGGTACTGCTGTGCTCCCTTAACTCCCCAGCCTGGGCTGTCTCTCACAATGCTTTGCTAGTGACAAGCAGCAAACCCTTCCGGGAGCTTTAATCACTCATCACAACAGCAGGTGGAGCCCCACACCCAGCTAAATTGCATGAAGGGATCCAAAGCCTCTCATGAATCACACAGAGAAAGGCACCAGCCAACTCCCCCCGCAGGTCCCCAGCCTAGGACCCCAGAGCTGTACCATCTTGCGTTGGTCAGAAGCCTGACCAGTATAAGTTTATTACCCAGTCCGCCCCTCCCTCAATGTGAAGAGGACATGCATCAGCTTTTATACAATAAGCAGAGGTTCCCCAGCACTTAAAGCAAAATATACTGTTTTTGGTAAAATATAAAACAGGTTTATTAGCTACAGAAAGATAGATTTTAAGTGATTGTAAGTGGTAGGCATAATATGATATTACCAAAAAGAAAATAAAAATAAGTGCACAATCTAAATCTTAAACTTTATCACACTAGACAATATTTAGATCAAGCAATGTTCTCACCCCACTGGATGTTCAAGGCCTTAATGCACAGACTTCCCTCCTGAATCCTGGACCAGTCTCCTCTGATATCTTCATGTTATCAGCATCCTGGTTGTTTCCAGCATAGGTGGGGGAGGAGAAAGGCCCCCTCATGCTGCAACTGTTCCTTATTTTATACCCGTGGCCCATGTGCCTGGCAGACACTAGCCAGGCATGTCCTGGTTGGCTTTGCTAAGTCACAGTGAACAAGCAGCCCCCAAGTCACAGTGATCAAGCAGTTCCCATTGTGTGGTGCTTGGATAGTTGAGTCACACAGTTGATTAACGGGTGGTCAACACCAACGTGGGCAGGGATCTTCTGCATGCCACTAGCAAACTTACAGCATATTTCAGTAACAACCATAGAGCACAATCTCATAACTTTATATACACTAATGATATACATATTTGGACAGAACCACAGGTTTCAGCAGATCAGTACCTTTTGTATGATACCTTACATGGCATGCTTTATATGAAATATTCCAACCAAATATGAATGATGAATATGGGGGTTACAGGGTGTCATTCTGAGGTACAGGTATTTTTGTCTTATTATTTTTTTGCATGAGTTCATTTGAGAGCATAGTGATTATCTCGTTTTACCCACATAGTGGTTGTTGGGGCATTTATTGCACTGGATGAGGTACACTATGTGTGATAGGCATGTGTAGGATCCATGAATATTGAAAGGTGTGTTGTGGGGGTTGTTGATCTTTGTGGCAGTGAAGATAGATCTGTAGGTTTTTTCATATGTTGTTCTGGCAGGGACTGCTACTGCTTTGAGTTGGTGTGTCCTGGTCTGTGCGGAGCTTGTTTCTGAGGATGTTTGGAGATATTAGGGGGGATTGTTTGAAGACCAGGAGAGGTGGGTTTTGAGAGAGATTTCTTTCAGGATGTGGTCCCCATTGAGTATGGGTTGTGTTACCCTATATAGATTCCAGTGTGGGGTGGTAGGTAACAACTAAGGATGTGTGGTCAGAAGCTGGCGTTTTTTGTTTTGTTTTGTTTTAATAATATATGGAAGCAGGTTCTTTTGGGGAATTTTGGTGGCCCATTCTATAATCAGAGCCGGCTCTAACTTTTTTGCCGCCCCAAGCGCAAAAAAAAAAAAAGCGCCGCTCCGCCGTAACAACCCCCCCTGAGCGCCGCCCCGCTGCGCTGTAACAACGCCCCCCAGCCCTGCCCCCCAAAACACCCCCCGAGCGTCACGCCACTGTAACAACCCCCCCGAGCGCCACGCCACCGTAACAACCCCCCCCGAGCGCCCTGCCGCCCCGCCGAAACAACACCCCTGAGCACCGCCCCGCCCCGCTGTAACACCCCCCCCGGAGCGCCGCGCCGCCAAAACACCCCCCCTCCCCCGAGCGCCACGCCGCCAAAACAAACAACCCCCGAGCGCTGCCCAGCCGAAACAAACAAACAAACAAAAAAACCCGAGCGCCACCACCCCGCCACCCGAAAATTGGCCACCCCTTACAAGGTGCCGTCCCAAGCACGTGCTTGGTCGGCTGGTGCCTGGAGCCGGCCCTGTCTATAATGTAATCTATGTCTCTGGTGAAGTGTCCTCGTTTGGTGAAGGTGGTTTTAAGTGTGTTAAGGTGTATATCTCAGACTTTCTCCTCAGAACATATTCTGTGGCTGTAGATAAGATTTCTTGGTGTTTGGGGTGGTTACTGGATCTGTGAAGGTAGGTGTGGTGATCTGTGGGTTTCTTGTATATAGTTGTCTGTAGGGTTCCACTGCTGAAGCTGATCATGGTTTCCAGGAAGTTGATGCTAGTGTGGAAGTGAGCTAGACAGCGTTTGATGGATGGTTGGTGGTTGCTGAAGTGGTGGAAATCTATGAGCGAGTTTAGGTTGCCTGTTCAAAGGATGAAAATATCATCGATCTATCCCAGGCATATCGTTGGTTTCGTGGTGCATATGTCCAAATTTTTTCCTTCAATGTGACCCATGAAGAGTTGGTAAATTGGGGAGCTGTCCAAATACCCATGGCTGTTCCCATGGTTTGGACAAAATGTTTGTTGAATGTAAAATTATTATGGGTGAGGATGAAATGGATAAATTTGGTGTTGTGTTTGGGGTGGATATCTGAGTGTTATCTATTCTCTTGTAGATATTTGAGGCAGGCAGCGATGCCATCATTGTGAGGGATGTTGACATATGGGGACTGACATCCATGGTGACAGGGATGGTGTTCTGAGGGAGACTGTTAGTATTGTGGAATTTCTGGAGGAAGTTGATTGTGTCTTTGAAGCAACTGGCAATTTGCGTGGTGAGTGGTTAGAGGATGGTTTCTCTGAGTCCCAGTATTCCTTCAGCCAGAGTGTCATGACCAGATATGATGGGTCTGCCTGGGTTCCCTGGTTTGTGTGTCTTGGGAAGTGTGTAGAAGGTCCCTCAGGTGGGTTTGTGGGGAATGAAGTTGTAGAGTCTTTCTGAGTTTTTGGGGAAGGATTTGATGCTATTCTTAAATTCCTGGATGAATTGTGGTATGGGTTCTTCTTTGAGTTTTTTGGAAGGTTGAGTCAGAGAGTTGTCAGTTGGCCTTGTTGATATAGTCATCATGGTAATGGACTACTATACACATAGTATAACTGATCAGAAAATGTCTCTCCTTATGAAAAATTTTGATTTTTTTTTTAGCAAAACAGTTGAAAACCAGAATAGCTTGATTCAGAAATACCTCCGTGGTACCTCCTGACAGTTATAGATGGGATGTCTTGTGTCTCCAGTCTACTGTGTAGGCTAGGCTCCCTGGTTGGACTAAGTCTTTCATGGTGTACGTGGTCTACCCTTTTGGTGAGATACAGATGCAAGTAAGAACACAGTAGGATAAATTATGGGCCTAAGAACATCCTTTTAAATTTGAGATTTGATTGATTAGGGTCTAAAATTCTTACCCAATTCCTTTCCTCTGCCCTGAATGATGTAAGAAATCCTCCACATTTAATAATAGTGGACATTATCTAAGTGAAAGACAGTTGGCTTATGTCACAGATCCAGTCGGGTGCCTCCTGCCGGCCTCCCACCACATGCTGTGATGAGAATCCAAGCCTCTGGATTCCCAGGTGCTTTAAGCCTTCTGGAATTTGAATGGAAATCCAGCCACTGCCCCAATCTTGGAGTCCATAGGGATGCTCTGAGGCACAGGCCTGCTATCTAGCATCATCTCCTGAGAGGCAGAACCCACTGTCTAGTTGCCTAGCCCCTTTCGTGTGTATTGCTGACCTTTCAGACTTCCTTGACTCACACCCTACCACAGAATCCCTCCCCAAAGTGTGAGCGTTCTGGTTCATAGTTTAATTCTCTCTGAAAGCATGTGATTGTGTGTGTGATCTGCTTCACAACAGATGCTTTGCCCCAAATGTAGCACATTATTGCTCTTTTAATTAACAGACAAAGAACAAGAGAGTACAGATCATATATAACACGACAAACATCCTAAACCCAATCTCCCTTTCGAGCCATCTGTGTTCAGGAGTGTCTCATGCAGGCCCTGTGTACTGGATTGGTTCTCCCTTATCTTGAGCTGGAAAAAAATGGCCAAAGACTGCAAATAAATTAACTCCTCGCTTTTTAAAAGCTTCCAGTCTTCTCTATCCGGTAACTCCCTTGCCAGTCTTGCCAACTTCCCCAGGTGACTCCAAGGCATCCTCTCCTGTGACAAACCAGGTCTCCTGGTTAGGAGCTATCTTATTGTCTAAAGCAATCACATTTCAGTGGTTCAACATTTTAAGTCAATGACCCTCTTTTGTTGTTTGTTTGCCACCAGTCTTTGGAATGTCATCTGAACAGGGAGGGAAACCGAGGAGGCAGAAGCCTGTACATTCAAAACTGAGTTTGGATCTTGATAAAGATACATACAGAGAGTTCATGATCTCACACAGAATTCATAGATTACACAGACAGATTCTCAATTTGTCATAAATTAATTTCATTGTATGTGTGTGTGTTGGAGAAATATTTTACAAAAATGTGGTATTTGAATAGAGGGAAAAAAAGAGGATATGTGACTTAGTTAATTATAAGATTTAAAAATGATGACTAAATAATTATAACATGCATAAATTTTATAAAGGTAATTTCTATAAGTACAACACAAAATGCATCTAAGAACTAATTACAAAAGGCTGAAATCTTTATCATGATTGTATGGAAACAAAAAAAGGCAACTATCTGTATAATATTTTTGTTAAAACAAATAGTTAAACATTGAAAGCAAAATATGTAAATGCTAAAAATAAAATAAAAGAAAGTCCAAGCAAATGAAATGATATTAAAATACAGCTGATGAATGAATATATTAGAAGCATTTTATGAAGGATTAAAAGCTTCAATAAGCTTTTATTCTAGCCAGCTCCTCCTTTTAATATAATAATTTATTAAGCATTAATAGGAAACTTGTTACAATCTTGTACATTTTCCTGATTTTCAGTTTTCAAGGCAACCTTCTCCTGTCATTCCTGCTCTTCAGAACAAGTCCTTACAGAAGGACGAGAGGCCTCCTTCTGTTGAAAGCCATATGTCTTATTACACGCAAGTATGATTCTTCTATTTCAAACTTAATAATTAGTGTACAAGTGGTAGTGTGTGAAAATATCAGTGGCCAGTTGCAGTTTTGACAGAACAGTGCAAACAATTTGTGATGCACTTGCCATAGCCAGTGCTGTACCTTTGGTGTGCAAACTTTTTGAATATTAAAGTATTTTTTTAAAATCATCTGCTCTGTCTAAATTCTTAAATGTATTCTGGATATATTCTTTCTGAAGGGGTCACTACCACCTTTCTATTTTATGTAAGATATATAGACAATAACTGAGATGATGGAATGCCTTTATTGCTAAGATAGTGCAGCCTACTTCTGAACTGACATTTGTTGTAAGTTCTCAAGTTCTCCCTTGCATCATAGAATCACAGAAATATAGGACTGGAAAGGACCTTGGGAGGTCATCTAGTCCCTGCACTGAGGCATGACCAAATAATCCTAGATCATCCCTGACAGGTGTTTGTCTAACCTGTTCTTAAAAACCTCCAATGATGAGGATTTCACAACCTCTGTCCCCCAATCTTCTTTTCTCAAGACTAACTATGCCGTTTTTTTTAACCTTTTCTCATAGGCCAGGTTTTTTTAAACCTTTTATCATTTTTGTTGCTCCCCTCTGGACTCTCTCCAATTTGTCCACATCTTTCTTAAAGCCTGTGCCCAGAACTGCACTCAGTGCTCCAGCTGAGGCCTCACCAGTGTTGAGTAGAACAGGGCAGTTACCTCCCATTTCTTACATACAGCATTCCTTTTAATACACCCCAGAATGAGATTAGCCTTTTGTGCAACTGCATTAGTTTATCTGCTTTTAATCTCCTGATACTTTTCAGCAGTACTACCACTTGCCAGTTATTCCCCTTTTTGTAGATATGCATTTGATTTTCTTTCCTAAGTGTAGTACTTTGCACTTATATTTATTGAATTTAATCTTTCTGAATTTAGACCAATCCTCTAATTTGTCTTAGTCCTTTTGAATTCTAAACCTGTCCTCCAAAATTCTAGCAATCCTTCCCAGATTGGTATCATCTGCAGATTTTATAAGAATACTCTCCACTTCATTATCCAAATCATTAATGAAAATATTGAATAGTATTGGACCTAGGACAGATCCCTGCAACCCCACCTATGTCTTCCCCAGTTTTACAGCAAACCATTGATAGCTACTCTTTAAGTATGGTCTTTCAATCAGTTTTGCAGCCACCTTATAGTGATTTCATCTAGACCACATTTCTCTAGTGTGGTTATGAGACTGTCATGTGGAACTGTATAAAAAAATCTTACTAAAATAAAAATATATCACACCTGCAGCTTTCCCCTCCCCCATCCAAGACCAATAACCGTGTCAAAGAAGGAAATTTAGGTTGGCTGGGCATGCTTTGTTCCGGACAAACCCATGTTGACTATTTCTTGTCATCCCACAATTCTCTAGATGCTTACAAATTGATTGTTTAATAATTTGTTCCAGTATCTTTCCAGGTATTGAAGTTAGGGTAACTGGTGCATAATCCCCTGGGTCCTCTTTGCTCCCATTCTTAAAGATAAGTTCTATGTTTGCCCTTCTCCAGTCTTTTGGAATCTTACCCGTCTTCCGTGAGTTCTCAAAGATAATCACTAATTGTTCCGAGATTGCTTCTGCTAGTTCCTTAAGTACCCTCGAGTGAAATTTCATCAGGTCCTGCTGACTTCAAGACATTTAATTTATCTAAATATTCTTCAACCTATAATTTCACTATTTTGGCTTGTGTTCATTATCCCTTGTTGTCAATATTAATTTATCTTTTTAGTCAAGACTGAAGCATAATAGGCATCACTCAGTCTTCTTGATGTTGTCTGTTTTCTCTTCTTTCCTGCTAAATAGAGGTCCTACACTTTTCTTCATCTTTCTCTTGCTTTTATTTCTAGAACTTCTTCATATTGCTTTTTATAATCCTTGCTAGGTATAACTCATTTTGTACCTTAGGCATTCTGATTTTGTTCATGTTTGCTCATGCTGTTCTTTTGTACTCATCCTTAGCAATTTGTCGATGTTTCCTCTTTTTTGTAGGATTCTTTTTTGATTTTCAGGTCATTAAAGAGCTCCTGATGGAGTTATATTATCTGCTCTCTCAAAGAAGAACTTGACATTAGTTTTCATGGTTGAGGTAACACTTATCCATGGAGCGATGGTTGCTTTTGTACCCATGTGTGTCAAGGTATAAAGAGAACTGAAAGTCTTAAACTAATTCAGTGTTCAATAGAATATATTTTACATCAAGAGCTTGGATGCATATTTTCCTGTACAGATAAGTTATTTCTTAACAGGTAATATCAGTTTCCTCCTTCACATCTGTCACGGATGCTCTTGCACAGATCTGGAACAGTCCTTGGGAGGACACTTTCAATGTGCCAACCCGTTAGGGTCACATTCTCACTAGGGCAATCCACTTGGCTTCACTGCCTCCTGGCACCAAACCTCAGAGCCTTCAGCATCACTACTTCACGCCATGAGTTCCCTTCAGTGAGTCCACTGAGTGGGGCACCTGAGGGAGTTACACACCCAACGGGGTGCGGAGTGACTCTCAGCCAATGTTGTAAAAGCAGGAGGGTTTATTAGATGTCTGGAACACAGTGTAGAAAATCCTTAGTTAACATGGAGAACAGTAAGTTACAGCATAGTCCATGTGGGTCAGTTCCTTAGCCCTCAGTGCCTTTTGAGTCCCAATCCAGAAGCTTCTCTAACAAGCTCTCTGGGACAGGGTCTGATTTTATTCATAGGTTTGTGCAGCATCTAGCACAGTTGGGCCTTGGTAGTCCTTGACAGGGACTTCTGGATATTACCACAGTACAAATAAATGATGATGGTGATTTTAGTATGTATTTAAATAGCAGATTTTTTAAGTAATAGAGATGACTAGAGACTGTCAGATTCTCATTCTCTCTCCCTCATTCTGCCAGTAGTTTCAGTATGATCAGGCACTAGATATTTTTAGGTTCAGTACTTTTTAATTTCTCATCTGTCTGAAGTGCTTACTTACTGTTAAGTATGAAAATGACATATTTGTTATATTTGTTAGGATATTCCACAATCCAGAGTTCTGTCTCCTCCAGTCCCAGCTAGAAGAAACCAGATGCGTGCATATGGTTGGTATTCTCTTTATTGCATGATAGCATAACTAATATACACCTTTATATATGTTAATCTCCTCTTTCTCTGTTGTCTTCTTTTCTGATATTGACTGTAATTATCTTGTGGAGAGAGAAACTCCGACACTTTTAGATCCCAAAGATATCAGCAAATACTTTTATTTGAATTTTTTCTAACAAACATTTTTTTCACATACCCTAGTGGAAAAATTGTTGATCTTTTGTTTTCAGATATTGGCAATTTATTTTGAAAATCATCCTTAATTTAAAGAAGTCTCATGTAAGAAAATGCATTTGTTTGCATGGTATTAGCACATTAATATTAATCATGCTTCTGCTTTAGGGTAGAACATGATATGAGTATAACTAGGGCTACTGTTATGAAATAAAGAAAATAAATTTGTGCTGGTTATAAAGAAATTTTCTTGGTAGTGAGATTGGTTAGACCAGTGGTTCTCAACCTTTCCAGATGACTGTACCCCTTTCAGGAGTCTGATTTGTCTTGAGTACCCCCAGTTTCACCTCACATAAAAACTACTTGCTTACAAAATCAGACCTAAAAATACAAAAGTGTCACAGCACATATTACTGAAAAACAGCTTACTTTCTCATTTTTACCATATAATTATAAAATAAATCAACTGGAATATAAACATTGTACTTACATTTCAGTGTGATACTTGGGCCTGTTTTTACTTGTGAGCCTTGTCTCACAAGTCCTGCCGCCCGGGGCTGAAGCATGTAACTTAGTTTTTTGGGGGGGCCCTATGTTGTGGGGCCCTGGGCAATTGCCCTACTTGCCACCTCCTGATGCCAGCCCTGCATTTGCAATCCCCCTAAACCCATCCCATGACCATTCCCAGGGCTGCAAGCCCCAAGTCGAGAAACACTGATCTAGATTTCAGAGTAGCAGCCGTGTTAGTTTGTATAAAGTACCCCCTGGAAGATCTTTGAGTACTCCCAGGGGTACACGTACCCCTGGTTGAGAACCACTGGGTTAGACAGTAGGATTGTCTTCCAGTAGAAGGTGCTAGAATCCTTATTTGGGACAGTTGCGACTACAGTGAGCATAGCACTCCAGAATTACTGTAGGGAACAGTCCTCCACTGGCAGAAGTAGACTAGACTATCTAATAGCGAGTAGGGTTTTTCATTTGTGATTTCTGTCGTTCTTGTTCCCAATACATTTTTCCATTTATAAACTGTATATTTTCTCTTCTTCTGAGTTTTATAGAATTTGGAGTCCCTGAGACAGTCTCTTGCCCTACACCTTGTGCAATCATTTACACCAGCACAAAGTGGGTGTGAATTGATACTATTTAATTTGATACTATTTTACAACTAATTTGCCCTGGTGTAAATGACTTACACATATGTAACCCAGTAGAGAATTTGGCCCATTATATGTAAGATCACATAACTCTGCAGTTGGAAGGATTAAAAATAGTTTAAGGGCACGTCTAAAATCTCTCTCAAATCTGTTTTTCTATAAAATCTGAGGCATATGTAGAGTACAAGGTGGTCTGATAAGGTTCTTGTTTGAGATGAGCTGTGTAACTCACTGTGGTTTCACCACTTGAGTAATGTGGCTGTGCCAAACTCAAGCCAATAATCACTTTATAATCACATCATTCTTTGTACATATGTACTGGGGGAATGTCTACACTACAAGTGCTACAGTGGCAAGCTGCAGCTACATTGCTGTAGTGTAGAGACTTAGTACAGTGACAGAAGGGTTTTTTCCATTGCTGTAGTAAATCCAGCCCCTCAAGAGACAGTAGCTAGGTTGACATAAGAATTCTACTATTGACCTCACTGCATCTGTAGTGGGAGTTGCGTCGACTTAATTATATCACACAGGGCATGAAATTTTTCATAGCCTTGAGTGATATAGCTAGACCAGGCCTCATTCAAGAGCTAGCTCTGAAGAGCTGTGTTTTCTCTCCCTTTGTTTTGTCACTCCACTGTTCTCCTTTACAATTAGCTGTCTTTACTCATGTTATGTATATACATTCCGTTATAAGCTATTCGCTGCAAAGACACTTTGTTTACTTTATATTAAGAACACAGGGCTGCATTTTAAAAGATATGTAGGTGCCTAGAGATGCAGATAGGTGCTTAATGGGATTTTCAGATACATGTGGGTGTAATGGGGATTAGGTGCCTCTCTGTATTTCTAGGTGTCTGAATGCCTTTAAAAATCTGATCCATAGTCTTTTAGAGCCTGCTGAAATTTTTACTTTGATCAGGTCGGATCAGGTAGGCAATTAAGACACAACATAAAGAGGAAGGCTTTAAGTACTGGTTTGCAACTTTTAGTAGCTAACCATAGTAACAGGGGTTTGACTGGGTACAGTGTAGAGGAACACCAAATGAGAGAGAATGCTATCCTTATCCTAGCCCTAACCAGAAGGTTCAGCCCAGCCCTCATGTGAGAAATGAGGATACATAGGAGCTAATGCTTGTGCTTGAGACCTCATGCTAATGCTTGAGACTTAATGACCATGCATCTTTGCTGCAAGCAATGTATGGTCTAGTTTTGCAGCCTTCTGGGCTCCATTCTCAGATCTATCCCAAGAGTTGGGCCCTGACACTTAGCATGCCATGAACTGAACACCTCTGCATGTGGTAAAATTCCTTCCTGACCAGAAAAAAAGAGTTTGGCCAGATCCACAGCAAACCAGTGTAATCACTAGATATTTTTGGGGGCTGGGAGGGAGGAAATATGCTAAAAATTGGGTGACGAAGACAGTGACCTTAGCTCTGAAGGAGTCTCCTAAATCCCAGGGGGAGGCAGAATGAACAAAAAGCTAATTTTGCCTGTTACCTGTCCAGTGGCAGTCCAAAAGATAGAGACGCAAGGTCCCAGCCCTCCTGGCACAGCTTCCAGGCCCTACCTTTCACTAACCAGACTCCACATGGAGCAGGGAGGGCATGTCACGGTTAAGAAAATAGTAGCTGTCCTTTCTCCTAACCCCAAAGTCAATCAGGATGCTGGGGGAGAAACTATTGCTTGCTGGTCTAATCAAATTGTATCTTCTCTCGCCCTTCCCCCCCGGCTTATACAAGATGGGACATTTCTGATTGTTAATCTTGGATGCCTCTTACAACTCTGTAATCGGTTCCTTGGGATGTCTCTAAATATAAAATCTATACTAATTTAAAATGTATAAAAGGCTGCATCTTGATCATGTTGATATCACTAGTACTGTAGCTGAAAGCCTGTGCTGTTGCATGGGGTTGATCATAAAGTCATATTTGTAAAAAAGCCAATAATGGCTGAGAACTTAAAAATTGGACCATGATAGACTGTGAATCCCAGTGATGGGATTGAATCTGGTGATATTCTAAATACAAAGAGCTCTCAACAATGCTTGTAGCTGTTTCCCTCTCTTCACATGGTCTCAACAGACATTCTAGTCTTCAGAGTGATGTTTGGGGTTATTGTATGTGCTGGTTATGTTGTGAGGGTGGTTGTGTTGATTTATGTTTGGGGGGGATTGTACTGGGACTTTTGTGTTGGCTTGTGTGCGTGACAAATAAGGGGTGTGCTGCTTGAGGGACTGTGTTTTAGGGTTATTGTGTTTGCTTGTTGTGTTGTGTTGGCGGTTTTGAAGAACTGTGGCAATTGGGCCAGGCAATCCACCATCTGTGCAGTCTCCATCATATAACCAATGAAATTGTTGTATGCAAATTAGCTGTAGAGTAAGGGTGGTTGGTTGAATTACTTCTGGTATCACAATGGTCTAGGACTCTTGGCATGGCATAGATACATGCCTTGCTGTGGCATGTGTGTAATTTGTACAGTCAGAATGACTGGGTACTTAAAAATTGGACAGTAACAGACTTCAAAACCCAGTGGTGATTGAACCTGGTAGTATTCTGAACAAGAAGGGCTCTTGACCATGCTTGTAGCTATTCCCATAGCTTTGCACTGACTCTACAGACATTTTAGGCTTCAAAGTAACACACAAACTGACATTCCTGCATTTTTATTATATGTATTATCTTAGTTTTAACAACAATCAACGTATTTTTACACTTTAGATTTCTGAAGTGGCCAAAACAAATAGTGTTCCTCTATCACTTTTTTTTTTTTTTTTAATTATCTATGTTAAATTCCAGAGGAAAGAAAGAATGTGATAAATGAGCTGTCAGAGATGAGGAAACAGCTCCGAAGTGAAGAGCGGCGACTTCAGGAACAATTGCTCAGTGTAGCCAGTGATGATGATGTAGCCACTACAAGGTGAGATTTTTTAAATACACACTTCTAAAGCCAGTTCTTGCACTATGCCTAAAGCTATATTAACCTGCCAGAACACACTTGAGCAAAAGCAAAAATATGAAAACAGTTATGGGATTAAACTTGCATACAAAATGTTCAAACTCTTTTATAATACAGCATTACATTGTTGAGCATGACACCCTGCAAAATGCATAATTTAGGGTGTTCTGTGGTCCATGCTTACAAGATAGGGAGCTCTATTCTGGGAAGCAGTGAATCTAAAAGACTCGTGGGTCAGAGTGAATAATCAGCTGAACATGAGTTTCCAGTGTGATGTGGCCAAAAGGGCTAATGCAATCCTTGGACGTATAAATGGCAATATCTGGCAGGATAACAAGGGGTTCTGTTACTCCTGTATTTGGCACTGGTGTGACCACTGGTGGAATACTGTGTCCAGTTCTGGTGACCAAAATTCAAGAAAGATGTTGTAAATTTCAGAGGGTTCAGAGAAGTGCCACAACAATTAAACAGTTGGAAAACATGAGCTATAGTGAAAGACTCAAGGAGCTTAATCAGTTGAACTTGTCAAAGAGAAGGTTAAGGACTGACAGGATCGTAGTCTCTAAATACTTATGTGGGGAAAAGGAAATTTGATAATGAAGAGCTTTTCAGTCTAGTAGGCAAAAGTAGAAGAAGATACCATGGCTGGAAGGTGAAGCAAGACAAATTCAGATTAGAAATAAGGAGCAAATTTTTAACAATAAGGGTAATTAACCATTGGAACAGTTCACCTAAGGTGGTTGTGGATTCTCCTTCACTGGAAATGTTCAAATATTACATGTTTTCTAAAAAGATATACGCTCTTGTTAAAACAGGAATTAATTCAGTGAAGTCCAATGGTCTGTATAATGCAGGAGACCAGACTAAATGATCATAGTGGTCGCTTTTGGCCTTATCTATGAATTTCATTAATATATGTTTTTTCAAAGGAATTATCCAGTTGGTTATTATCTATATCCATTGCTTTCTAAACCTAAGAGTTTAAGGGGAAAATATAAGTCTCTGATGCCAGCTGGGCTCCAGTTTCCATTTCTTGCAGTAAAGCACGTGTTTGCACCCGGAAAATACAACTCCAACATTAGTTCTTACGTCTACTGTTGTACATTGCTGATGCTAGTTATCATTTCATCTGAATTTAAATTGAAATAATAGATTTCTCCTTTTGTATGTCTTAAATATAGAAAATACTTGACCCAACAAATAGCTTCTTGTTTTTTTTTTTTTTTGGTTTGTTGAGTGTTTACATTCCTTCAGACATACACTAGAATCTTGCTAATTCACATTTCACTAGTCCTTTTTCCTCAGGCCATAATGTGTGTACAAAGCCAGCAGTGTCTGTATAATAGCCTACTGTTGTAGAGAGGTATGTTGTTATGAATACTTCATTACAAAAATATACCACAGAACATTTACTAGTGTACTATATAACTATACTAACATAAATGATTAGAACTGCACTGGTTAAATAAATGAATTTTGCATTATCCTTCTTTTATGTTTTGATTATTTGCAAATCTCATCACATAGTAATCATAGGACCATCCAGCTCATTTCCATGTCATCAGTGTGAACTTAGATACCACATTGCCTCCATTTGTAATGCACAAAGAAATTTAATTATTTTTAAAACTGTGTTCAAATTTCAAATAGTTTTATTCTTTGAGTGGCAGGATACAATATCCAAGTAATAGTCTTCACTTGGAGTAATACTGAGTGACATGTTCAAATAAGTTGTGAATGAGGAACTGTTAGTGACACTGAATGTTTGGTTTACAAACTTTTCAAGCAGGAAAAGAGAGAAAAATGTAATGGATGTATTTGAGATGGCCAGGCTTCGGATGCAAGCTCCAGTCAGGCGACCTTCATCAAAGGGTGCAGCTGACCCTGTCAATGTTCAGAATATCAGGGAGTTCAATGAACTTAAATACACAGGCAAGTGGATTTTATCCTTTCTGATTGGAGGTTTATTTGCATCTCTTAATCATTTCCTAGCATTTAGAAGAAAATTCAGTAATCCTTCTCACAGTTGCCCTTAACACAAACACTATGGATAGGGTCCTGGCCCTCACTGTATCTTCTTTTCTACTGGCATTCTGGTTTAACTAGTGAGCTGAGGAGTCCACTGCCTGCTACACCATGGCATAAGTAGTATAGCCAGGGAACCACTATATCCAGCTCATTCCTGGCTGCTAAAACAGCCCCTTGGAATGTTTTTAGTGGCATTGTAGAACACATTCTGTGTTGTTTTTGTGGAGCATGTATATCAATTTGCAATGCAAAATATTTTGGTTCCCCAAAATGATGATATACTTAACTTCCGTTAAACAGGAAAGCATACGAATGTTTCAGCAGCTTTTTAATGCACTTTTGTGTGTAATGATCCATTCACGTAAAGGTGCTGAGAGGTGTTTTTGAAAATCCCAAAGTGGCTTTGGAGCACAAGTCCCAGTGAAAGTCTACAGGATTTGTGCTCTTAAATAATTTAGGCACTTTTGAAATCCCACCCTCCGTGTCTGACAGCAGTTTACACCTGACATATCTGTGCTTTCTTATTAACCAAAAGAAGTATCACCACAATCAAAATTCACTGTGTCAACCCTTAGTTGTTGTCATTACCATAGAATCATTGAAACTCCTAATCCAACCACTACTAACCATCCCAGGTATTTATACATTGTTACGGTCTTTGGGTTTGTTTGTTTTCTGGCAAATTGAAGTTGCTTAGTTATTTTTTTCATTTGATACACTTTACCGCCATCTATGAATTTTTTTTATAAAGTGGTATTTTAACATATTATTACAAGCCATCCACTTTTTTTTGCCATTATTAGTTTTGATAGTCCTAGTGCTTTTAAATGCATGTAGTTCCCATTTTTAAAGTAAATGTTTCTGAAATAGTGTTGTGATGAAATTTAAAATTCACAATCTATGCAACAGATTCAGAAACACGAGCAGACTTGAGATATATGTACCCTGATCCCCCAAAAGATGATCAAACCTTAGAGATTCAACAGCAGGCATTGCTAAGAGCGCAGCGGAAGAAACTCAACAGAATGAAAATGAGGAGGGATGCAGAAGGTAAGAAAAGAGTGACTTGAGAGAATGAAATGTATTTTTATTGGCTTTGTTTTTGATATAACTGTAATAATCCTCAATTATAGTTTTAAATTTCCTTTAACTCATTGGCTTGCTCTGAAGAATGCATGCAGGTTCACAATAATTTGTTGGAAAACAGAAAGGTAAAGCTACTGTTGAAGTTCTATATATTTTAATACTACATAATAAAGAAAAAGCCAGTCTTTCTATCTGCACTTCCGTTGTTAGAGTGGATGCTTCCCCTTGGTTCTTTGGGAGTAATTTTATTGTGATTTCATGATTATTTTAAAAAATATAGCAGAAGTTTAGGGCAGTTCCTGTTTCTTAAAATCTAAAGAGTCGTAAATAGCTTCCCTTTCTGGAAGATGAGTTTGACAGAAGTGACTGAAGATGGTCTTCAGTCATTAGCAGATTAGTTCTGCAAGGCAACAATACTTCCACACTCATCACAGATAGTTTTGGAAACCAAGAATTATTTAGACTGAAGTTAGTATAGCTAATAATGTGTCTCTGACTTTTGAACAAGAAATATGCTGAGGATTAGTGAAGACAAAGTTCTGCTGTTTTCAGTCTCAAAACCAGCCATTGTCATAGAAGCCCCATGTCAGATGTAGCAACTAAGATAGCCTTACACTGCAGGTCCCCTTTTGGAGTATTGAAGACAGTGGGGCAGGTCCTTAGCTGGTGTTAATTGTCATAACTCCATTGAAATTCAATGGAGGATTTGTCTCTGTTTCTTGTTAGGTAAATTAACTTTTTCACCGTCATTCATTTTCTGTATGCAATAATACAAAACGTCTTTGAACCAATCGTCTGCCATTTCAGTACCTTGGGTCTTATCTTCAAAGCCATCAGTGGGTTAGGATGCAGCTTCATAAGTGACCACTTCTCCATTCCATGATGCCCTACAACAGTTGACCTTCTCTGTAAAAATGCAGTTGACAAAACACATGAGCATTGAAGTCAAATTGTACTCTGAGAAATTTTAGCTGTGGAATGAGCTTTCAGGGTCTGACCACTTTCAGGCAATGTTGCAAAATCCTCCTCAGCATAACTGGGTTAATTGGGAAAAAGAAAGAACGAGAGAAACAGATAAAAACAAGAGAGATCCGGATTAGACCTTCCTCTAACAGAGAAGGGAGAAGAGCAAAAGACCTATGAAGTACACTAGAAGCTTTGCTATACAGATCTAATTGACTTGGGAAGCAATTAAATACTACACTGAGGGGCACTATAGAATGCCCTAAGATCGCTAGATACATACAGCTAGAAAGACTAAATTAGTATAGACTTTATTTCCTGCATGGTGGTAGTTTTGAGGCTACAGCCTTCATGAAAGAGGGAAGAAGACCCTACCTGAAAAACAAGTAGTAATCTCACAAATTCTGCATCTACACCAAATCTCCACTTACTTGAAATGCCAGAATGAGTGCTGCCTGCAGTAGATTGGATACAGGTCGTCATAACATAATAATCACTCTTTGTTTCATACTGTGGATTCAGTGACATCATCTAAATGTCATCTTTCTTTCTTACATATTTTAGTTAGTTAACATTGTTGACATTCATTTCTATCAGTAATGTTCAGAGAAAATGTCCATTCAGGTGAATGGAGCAGTTTTCACCTGTGCCATAGCTGTCGTTTCAAGATCTCTGAAGACTCAGGTAGACATAATGGCATTTGCTTCACAATTTTGGAGGTTATTTTGCCACCATAAAAACTAGAGACTTTTTGTTGTAAAGAATGCTCAGATTCTGGAATGCAAGGCGTATTATCACAGGCAAGCTGTTACTTATCTATCTGCCCAAACTTGTCCAGTTCAGCTCCTGGGGAGAAGCCCTTCTCATAAAAATTGCAATTTGGAGTTTCTTACTGAACTACAGTTCCAGTTGCTAAAAGTTTGGAATAAATGCTAGTAAAGGCTTTAGTATTCCTGCCACTTGTAGCTTTTGTTGGGAAAAATAGTTCTTTTGCAACTGTCCTAGGAGACCTGGATAGTATCTTACTCTACAAGTCATCCCAATATGACTAAGGGTGACCGAATTGATCCTGAAGGACAAAAGTTGTGTGTTTATTGCGTGATGAGCTAAAAATATGTTATGCATTAATGAGGAAGATGATGAATATTTCTTGGGTTTGTTCTTTCTGTGACAGGCTTTTCTGGTGTTCATGTACACTATAACTTTTATATACAGTGTATAAAAAACAAATGTATATAAAAATACACTTCTTGTCCTAAATTGTGACCACCTTGGGGCAGGGATCTTTTGAACTGTAATATTTTCCCAATCAGATTAAGTTTCTGATTAACAGGCCACATTGCCTTTGAGAAGGCTCTGATTTATCTGGAGGAGTGTGCTTTGCCAGCTATGAAAGACAATTTTGACTCATTCCATTAATTTGAGTACAGATTGTCAATTTCATCTCTTGCCAATTCTGAATGGATAATGTAGTTTTAAATTACATTAATCTGAACAAAGCCAGATGTTCCCTTTTCCAGGGCAGTTTAGATTCGCACACAAGTAACTGAACCCTGAGCACAATTCTGGGAAATCTCTTTATTTTTAAGCTGCTTCATGGTCCTTGTAGAGGACATTCTCCCCAGCCCACCAGTTCTTTGTCCTCCTTTGTCTTGTGACTTTCATTTTCCATCTTCTATTTTACACTTACTTATAGTCTGTTACTGTCACTTCCTACTCTGTAGTTCTGGACAAGAGAAATATGTGTTCTTTGCCTTTTCTCTGTTAATTTTCCAATTAACCTTCCTCAGAATCAAATTCAACTCCTTTTTTCTCCAGTGAAAATGCTTTTCTTGTTGTCTCATTCAAGGGAAAAAGAAATGAGATATATGAATATATATATTTATTTTCATACTATATATATATATAGAGAGAGCGAGAGAGAGAATGAAAATTACACTGCTGTTGGCTCTAGAGGCAAAGACAGTAATTCTAGAGATTCTGCTAACATTGTTGGGGGAGCAACAGATAAAAAAAAAAATGTGGCTGATGCAACTCTTATAAATAAATGGAGATATACCCATCTCATAGAACTGGAAGGGACCTTGAAAGGTCATTGAATCCAGTCCCCTGACTTCACTAGCAGGACCAATTTTTGCCCCAGATCCCTAAATGGCCCCCTCAAGGATTGAGCTAACAAACCTGGGTTTAGCGGGCTAATGCTTAAACCACTGAGCTATCCCTCCCTTCTTCTTTATATAAACATTTATTACTGTTTTTTCCCTAGGTTTTTAAATAAGAGAAACATTTTAAATGTTAGCTGCATCGTAACTTTAGAAACTAACACATTTCTAAACATATGACAAAAGTAGTTTCAAATACTACACTTGCCCCTGACTCCTGGCAATTTTTGTCATTTTGCAATCTCTTTGCTGCTTTTAATTGTTTTCCTTTCCCTTCTTACTGTGTGAGAGTGTCATACAAACAGGAGAGCTGAGTGAATAATGGACAAGTTTAAGGCTGTTTGTGACTTTTTATACTTAGTCTCATTCTTTTTAAAGTTTAACCTTAAGTTACAATGTCCTGGCTTTCTAATATTTGAGATAATAGTCCAACTTTTTTTTCCCATTCATTTAACAGTGCTTTGTGAACATTAACTCTAACTTACCCAAGTTTTTGGTCTAAGAATTCCTTTATTACTCCTTAGTTCCATTTGGCTATTTTTATATAGTAGCTATTCAGATTAGATAAACTTCAGGGCTTTAAAATCTAAGTTTTAATCCTGATGACTAATAGAATATTGAGTATGGCTATCCCTTAAGATCCTACATCTTTCTTTAATTCACCAATTTATTTTAGATAAGTAAAACATATTTATTTCATTTATGAAGAGTGGGGCAAGAAAACAAAAATATTAATATTATAGAAGTGGAAATCATCTTTATTATAACAGAATAATACACTAATTTGAGTCCTTTGGCACATCTTGGAAGGTGAACTTTCTTTTTGTATGCTAATTCAGGGTGCAGAATTAACTTAGAGATGGATTCCTTTGCTTGAGCTATATGATTAGCATATTTTAATTTAATTTTTATATTTTATTTGCACTTGTTAATGGGAATGCTGCAGACACTGATTTTAATGAAAAGATTTGTGTAAGATGTAGTTTTAAGGCTTTAAACATCATTCTTCTTATTATGTATATTATAGTAGTGCCCAGAGGAGCCCGGGTCAAGATCAGAGCCTTGTTGTGGTAGGTGGTATACAGACCCAGAGTTAGACAAGGTTCCTGCCCCGGAAACTTGTCTGTGAGAAGACAAACAATACAGCAAGAGCAGGGTAGAGGAAGACTATTAAATATTTACAATTTCTGTATACCTAAATACACTATTCTTCTTTGAGTACCATTTCCTATGTGCATTCCACACATGGGTACTGATGCTCAATGTCTTTTGGCCTGCACATGTTCTGTAGCTCTTCTCATGCTCCCGATTAAGAGTGTAAGAGACAGTGAGATTGTCTCTGAGTTCCATATCAATCAAACAAAATACCTGTATTTTTTTCCAAAACCTTGCTCTTCCTCTGAAGATAAGAGACTTCCCTCCATCAATATTCAGCATGCCCTGGCATTCTACCTGCAAAGAACCAAACCCATTAGGAAATCACCAAGACTTTTTATTGCTACAGCAGAGAGATATCCTGGGCAAGCCATTCCTCCCACTGCTTGCCAATCACCCACATGTGGAATACACATAGCGATCAGCACTCGAAGAAGTGGAGGTTACTTACTGTAACTGGAGATTCTTCAAGATGTGTGGTCCTTAGCTGTATTCCACTACCTGCCCTCTGTCACCTCTTCTTCTATTGGATTTGCGGTAAGAAGGGGAACTGGAGAGGCATCCACCCACACTGCCTCTTATACCCTCAGTTGGGACCAAGAGAAGAGCTACTGCACATATGTGGACCAACAGACACTGAAGAATTTCCAGCCTTGGTGTGCATGCTTACCCATGTGTGGAATGCAGATAGGGACCACACATCTGAAAGAGCCTTCAGTTACAGTTAAGTAACCGCCTGTTATATGAATGTTTGGGTTTTCTTTTATTTTTTTTTAATTTTATAAATATCAACTTTTCAAACTGTCCTCAGCTTAGCCATCATGTTTCCTGAATAATTGTAGGCATCATGGTTACAAGTGATGTTTGAGAAGAGATTTGTAGGAGGGAGGGGTGAGTAGCCTTACAGATAAGTTCAGGGATGGTGTGCCATGTATTGTAATTTGAAAATAGTTAATAGCTTAATTGAATTGTTTTTGAACACCTGATATTGTCACAAGTTTCCATATGAAATTTAAAGCCACCAAACATGACTTTATAGAGAAGAACTTGGCAGGGAGATGAGTTACTCCATGGCACCCATGCAGCAAATAATACAGTTTTAAATAATGTTCTGCAGCAGATTCTGTACTTATGGGCCTGTACAAAATTCCAAATTTTTGAGCTTAAAACCAAAAATATACCATATTATCTAAAACAAGCTGGCTAAGTAAAAAGTTAATTTATTATTTTATGAAAATTATATTAAATGGTGTATTCTCTCAATAACACTACTGTAATTGCATTAAATGAAGACAGTATGCAGTTCTTGTGGTAAGAAACAGTACTTCTTACCAGCTACGTGATTAGTTGTTGTTTATTATATGTATTACAGTAATACCAAGAAGTCCCAACCAAGTTCACTGCCCCTCTGTCAGGCGATGGACAAACATAGTGAAAGCCATTCCCTACTCTAAAGAATTTACTGTTTAAATAGACAAGTCAGGCAAAGGTTGGGAGGGATAACAGAGACATAGAGAGGTGAAGTGTCTTGCCTAAGACCAGAGAGCAGGTTTCTTGGTCCTGGTTCAGTTGCCCTATCCTCTAAACCAAGCTGCCTCCCCAAAGGTTAGTTACTTTCCATATTGTCCATTTTGATGCTCTATAATAGGAAGGTCACATTGATTGTTACTACCAGGGTTGTCAGAATCTGCTCTGAGGAACCTAGTGTAAATTTGCTCTTTAGTTACCAAATAAAGATTTCTGCAGCAGAAAGTAGGTGTGTTTCCAGAAGTTGATACAATATAACTTCTAATGCTAATATCATCAGATTAACCTTGAATACATTTAAAAAACTTGTTAGTAAGTACAAAAGCTGGTTAGTCTGGACATTCCTATAATAATCCATAAGTGTATTTAAATTCAACAGATGTCTTGCACAAAGCCAAGAAATAAACAAGTTGGTATTAATTTGTTTTGCCACTTAGAAATATAGTTTTGATATGCAAATATATTACATTTTTTTCTTCATTGGGAGAGACTTGTGAATACACATTTGGGGGGAATGTTGTGTATTTGTAACAATATCAGATTTCCTTCAATAGCAGTTTGAATATTTACATTAGGTCCATCTAGTGACACTTAAATTAATATTAAGACAGCTTAAGCAAATTTTGCATCAAAATATTCCCAGTTTATTTATTAATACAGTGAATATGACTGTAAAGATAAGACTTTAATAAGGAGTGATTCATTGTGGTGTCCATAGTTGTGTAACAATATTTTGCTAAAATGTTAAAATATGTTCTTGTATAATCAGTGTTTATGTTCATTACTTTTTTTTCCTCCCTGGGCTGTGATGGCTACTATAGACCATGATGATTCTGTTCCTGACTTTAACCCACGAAACATGGGACTGGTAAGAAGAAACTGAGCTCCCCTTCCCTCCTCTCCCCAATATGCTGTTTTCATTTTGTTCAAATGTGCAGAGTGTTGTGGCTTGTAGTTATGTTAATTTTGGACGGAGTGTACATTAGAGAACTATTGAAATAGAAAACTAAATTTAACTAAGCTTGCAATCTGTCTGGATAACTGGCAAGCTAGAGGAATAACAAATAGGATACTTTATTCAGGTCTCTTTGCTGAGGCAGGAAATAAGCTCCATGGCTGTATATCTTAATATATACATATGGCTGGATTCTTCACTGCCTTTTACTCGGTATAGTCACGTACATCTGTGTAAAGTTAGGAATAGAATACTGTACCTCGTGTGAGTTAGTGGAGAATGCTAATTTGGTAGAACTTTACACAGTTATATATGACTAAACAAGGTGCAAAGCAGTAAAAATCAGGCACTGTTTCCAACAAGATATACAAGAGCCATAGAGCTTATTTCCTGGTTCAGTGAAAAGAACTGAATAAAGTGCTATCAAATTCCAATTCTCCACTAATTCACACTGGCCACAACAAGTGCAATGAAGAATCAGGCACTTAGAATGTCACTTAAACTATTATTCTTGAATTGCCTCATGATGCATAGCTAATAGAGCAGTTATGTGTTCAGCATAATGTTAGTGAACTTTGGTTGTAAATAGCTACCTGAAATTCTTCTTTGGAGGGTTGATTTGCAGTACATTTTCAGTTTCCATTGTCTCTTTCCTCTTTGAACTCAAAATTGATAGACATTATAGTGATTCTCAACACAGAGAAATCCCTTTACAAAACCAATTCTGTAATAAATTGTTGCAGTTGCCGCCATGTTGTTTATTACAAGTTAAACCTTTTAAAGTATGTAATAAGGATAGCATAATAACAAATACTAAGCTATGTTACAGTTGCATAGAAGTACATTTTTTGAACTCAGTACTATCAAGGACTTGATGTCACAGGGGATTAGTAAAGGATTTTGAATCTTTCTTGTTTAGATCACTACTTTGAATACAATCCAAAAGTCACGAAGGATATTCAGTATCTTACGTGAAGTAAATTGCCAGTCTGGGTTTAATTCCTAATGAACATGGGTTCATGTTACACAAAGAACAGTCACAACTGACACCCATGTAGATAGTTTTAGTAGAGAGGATTGTTGTGGAAAGTGTCCAAAGTATGAATTGTTAGGGAAAGTCTCAGATATCTTTAATCCTATTATTTTTGCCAGTAGAACAGGACTGAAGCACATTTGAGAGCACTGCACTGTTTTGTAGGTATAAAGAAGACTGTAAATTTCCAGTACTGTGCAGTTTTGTTCTAGCCGTGTCAGTCCCAGGATATTAGAGAGACAAGGTGAGTGAGGTAATATCTTTTATTGGACCAACTTTTGTTGGTGAGAGAGACAAGCTTTCAAGCTACACAGAGCTCTTCTTCACATCTGGGAAAGGTACTGAGAGTGTCACAGCTAAATACAAGATCAAACAGATAGTTTAGCATAAGTAGTTAGCATTTATTCTAAGGGACCATTCAAGATGAAGTGGCCCGTTAACAATCCTGTACTCATAGGACAAAAAGGGGTGTTAGTAGGGTACAGATTGTTGTAATAAGCTGTAAATCCAATGTCTTTATTAAGACAATGATTTGTAGTGTCTAACAAAGTTAAGAATTTAAGCTCCCAGGCTCATCTTTTGAAAGTGTTGTGCAGGTTTCCAATGCACTAACAACTATGAGGGTGAAACCAGGAAATCACTATGCTCTCAAATGAACAGGAAAATGACAAAAGACGAAAACATCTGTGGGTGAACACTTTTCACAAAGCGATCCCTTTATATCTGACTAGTCAGTCCTCATCCTCAAAAGAAACCTGGACAACGCTTTCAAGTCGAGCCTGGGAGCTTAAATTCATAACTTTGCTAGATGCTACAAATCTTGGTCTTAGGCCAGGTCTATTCTACAGGTTTATATCGGTATAATTACGTCGCTCAGGGGGGTGATAAATCCACACCCCGGAGTGGCGACATTATACCGACCTAAACCCTGTTGTAGATAGAGCTTCTGCAGTCAACATAGCTACTGCCTCTCAGGGAGGTGCATTAACTATTCCAACAGGAGAATCTCTCCCATTGGTGTAGGAACGTCTTCATTTAAGTGCTATAATGGCACAGCTGCACCGATACAGTGTTTTAAGTGTAGACCTGCCCTTAATAAAGACACTGGATTTATTGCTTATTACAACAATTTGTAACTCACGAACCCCCCTTTTTGTCCTATGACTACAGCTATGTTAAGGGGCCACTTCACCGTGAGTGGTCCCTTAGAATATGTGTGTTAATAACTACTTAAGGTTTCTCTAACGGGGTCGTGACCCCTCAGGGGATCTTGAGGCTATTACTTGGGGGCCGTGAGCTGTCAACCTCCACCCTCAAGCCCCGCTTCGCCTCCAGCATTTATAATAGTGTTTAATATAAAAAATGTGTTTTTAATTTATAAGGTGAAGTTGTACTGAAAGGCTTGCTGTGAAAGGGGTCACCAGTACAAAAGTTTGAGAACTAAGCTATTTGTTCCATCTTGTATTTGGCTGTGACACTCTGAGTACCTTTCCCAGACCAGAAGAAGAGATATAAGAGCATAAGAACGGCCATACTGGGTCAGCCCAGTATCCTGTCTTCTGACAGTGGCTAGTGCCAGGTGCCCCAGAGGGAATGAACAGAACAGGTAATCATCAAGTGATCATCCTCTGTTGCCCTTTCCCAGCTTCTGGAAAACTGAGGCTAGGGATGCCATCCCTGCCCATCCAGGCTAATAGCCATTGATGGACCTATCCTCCATGAATTTATCTAGTTTTTTTTTTTGAACCCTCTTATAGTCTTGGCCTTCATAACATCCTGTGTCAAGGAGTTCAACAGGTCGACTGTGCGTTGTGTGAAAAAATACTTCCTTTTGTTTGTTTTTAAACCTGCAGCCTATTAATTTCATTTGGTGACCCCTAGTTCTTCCTTATTTACTTTCTCCACACCAGTCATGATTTATAGATCTCTATCATATCCCCCCTTAGTCATCTTTTTTCCAAGATGAAAAGTCCCAGTCTTCTTAATCTCTCCTGATATGGCAGCCATTCCATACCTCTAGTAATTTTTGTTACCCTTTTCTGAACTTTTTCCAATTCCAAAATATCTTTTTTGAAATAGGGCGACCATATCTGCATGCAGTATTCAAATGTGGGCGTTCTATGGATTTATATAGAGGCAATATAATATTTTCTGTCTTATCTATCCCTTTCTTGATGATTCCCAACATTCTGTTCACTTTTTTGACTGCCCCTGCACATTGAGTGAATGTTTTCAGAGAACTATCCACAATGACTCGAAGATCTTTTTCTTGAGTGGTAACAGCTAGTTTAGACCCCATCATTATATTTTCCAATGTGCATTACTTTGCATTTGTCAACATTTAATTTCATCTGCCATTTTGTTGCCCAGTCACCCAGTTTTGAGAGATCCTTTTGTAGCTCTTCGCAGTCTGCCTGGGACTTAACTACCTTGATTAATTTTGTATCATCTGCAAATTTTGCCACCTCACTATTTACCCCTTTTTCCAGATCATTTATGAATATGTTGAATAGGACTGGGCCCAGTACAGACCCCTGGGGGACAATACTATTTTCCTCTCTTCATTCTGATAACTGACCATTTATTCCTATTCTTTTAACCAGTTACTGATCCATGCGATGACCTTCCCTCTTATCCCAGGACTGCTTCCTTTGTTTAATAGCCTTTGGTGAGAGGGACATTGTCAAAGGCTTTCTGAAAATCTAAGTACACTATATCCACTGGATCACTCTTATCCACATGCTTGTTGACCCCCTGAAAGAATTCTAGTAGATTGATGAGCGATGATTTCCCTTTACGAAAAACATGTTGACTATTCCCCAACAAATTATGTTAGTCTATGTCTCTGACCATTTTGTTCTTTACTATAGTTTCAATCAGTTTGCCCGGTACTGAAGTCAGGCTTACTGACCTGTAATTGCCAGGATCATCTCTGGAGCGCTTTTTAAAAATTGGTGTCGCATTAGCTATCTTCCAGTCATTTGGTACAGAAGCTGATTTAAATGATAGATTACAGACGACAGTTAGTAGTCCTGCAATTTCAGATTTGAGTTCCTTCAGAATTCTTGGATGAATACCATCAGGTCCTGGTGACTTATTACTGTTTTGTTTATCAGTTTGTTTCAAAACCTCCTCTAATGCCACCTCAATCTGGGACAGTTCCTCAGATTTGTCACCTAAAAGGAATGGCTTGAGTTTGGGAATCTCCCTCACATCCTCAAGAATTCATTCAGTTTCTCCTCAATGGCCTTATCGTCCTTGAGTGCTCCTTTAGCATCTTGATCATCCACTGGCTCCACTGGTTGTTTAGCAGGCTTTCTGCTTCAGATTTACTTAAAAAAATGTTGCTATTACTTTTTGAGTCTTTGGCTAGCTGTTCTTCAAATTCGTTTTTGGCCTTCCTAATTGTATTTTTACACTTCATTTGCCAGAGTTTATGCTTCTTTCTATTTTCCTCACTAGGATTTAACTTCCACTTTTTAAAAGATGCCTTTTTGCCTCTCACTGCTTCTTTTACTTTGTTGTTTAGCCACGGTGGCTCTTTTTTGGTTCTCACTATGTTTTTTAATTTGGGGTATACATTTAAGTTGAGCCTCTATTATGGTGTCTTTTTAAAGTTACCATGCAGCTTGCAGGATTTTACTTTTGGTGCTGTACCTTTTTAATTTCTGTTTAACTTACCTACTCATTTCTGTGTAGTTCCCCTTTCTGAAATTAAATGCTACAATGTTGGGCCGCTGTGGTGTTTTCCCTGCCACAGGGATGTTAAATTTAATTATATTGTGGTCACTATTACCAAGTGGTCCAGCTATATTCAACTCTTGGACTTGATCCTGTGCTCCACTTAGGACTAAATCAAGAATCGCCTCTCCTCTTGTGGGTTCAAGGACTAGCTGCTTCAAGAAGCAGTCATTTAAGGTGTCAAGAAACTTTATCTCTCCATTCCGTCTTGAGGTGATATGTACCCAGGCAATATGGGGATAGTTCAAATCCCCCACTATTATTGATTTTTTTATTTTAATAGCCTGTCTAATCTCCCTGAGCATTTCACAGTCACTATCACCATCCTGGTCAGGTGATCGGTAATATGTCCTACTGCTATATTATTATTCGAGCATGGAATTACTATCCATAGAGATCCTGTGGTATAGTTTGGTTCATTTAAGATTTTTACTTCATTTGATTCTATGGTTTCTTTCACATATAGTGCCACTCCCCAACCAGCACGACCTGTTCTACCCTTCCGATATATTTTGTACACTGGTATTACTGTGTCCCATTGATTATCCTCATTCCATCAAGTTTCTGTGTTGCCTATTATATCTATATCCTCACATAATATGAGGCACTCTAGTTCACCCATCTTATTATTTAGACTTCTAGCATTGGAATAGAAGCACTTGAAAAGCTTGTCACTTTTTAGCTGTCTCCCATTACATGATGTCATTGAATGAGACTTTTTTTCATTAGACTGTTTCTCATCAGATCCTACCAGTATTTTATCATCTTCCATCCTCTTCTCCTTATTAGGACATAGGGAATCTCCATTAATAGATCCTCCTGTAAGGAATGTCTCTGTCCGAACCATGTCCTCCTCTGCACCTATCGGCTTTCCCCCAGCCCTTAGTTTAAAAACTGCTCTACAGTCTTTTAAATTTTAAGTGCTAGAAATCTGGTTCCATTTTGGTTTGGGTGGAGCCCATCCTTCCTGTATAGGCTCCCCCTTTCCCAAAAGTTTCCCCAGTTCCTAATAAATCGAAACCCCTCTTCCCTACGCCATCGTCTCATCCACACATTGAGACCCTGCAGTTCTGCCTGTTTAACTGTCCCTGCGCATGGAACTGGGAGCATTTCAGAGAATGCTACCATGTAGGTCCTGGACTTCAATCTCTTACCTAGCAGCCTAAATTTGGCCTCCAGGACTTCTCTCCTATCCCTCCCTATGTCATTGGTACCTACATGTACCATGGCCACCAGCTCCTCTCCAGCACACATAAGTCTGTCTAGATGTCTCGAGAGATCCACAACCTTCTTATCAGGCAGGCAAGTCACCATGCGGTTATCCTGAACATTGCAAACCCAGCTATCTATATTTCTAATGATCGAATCGCCCATTACTAATACTTGTCTTTTCCTAATAACTGGAGTTCCCTCCCCCGGAGAGGTATCCTCCGTGCGAGAGGATACCACAACATCGTCTGGAAGGAGGGTCCCAATTATGGGATCGTTTCCCTTTGCTCCAGTTGGATGCTCTCCTTCCCTGAGGTTTTCATCCTCCTCAACAGCACAGAGGCTGTCAGACAGGGGGTGGGACCATTCTACTGTGTCCCGGAAAGTCTCATCTATGTACCTCTCTGTCTCCCTTAGCTCCTCCAGCTCAGACACCCTGGCCTTCAAAGCCTTTACACGGTCTTTGAGGGCCAGGAGCTCCTTGCACTCAATGCACACATACGCCACCTGCCTATTGGGCAGGTAATCAGACATGCTGCATTGGGTGCAATAAACTGGGTAGCCCCCACTCTGTTGCTGGACTTCTGCCTACATTATCTTTTTACTCCTGAAGTTGCTTCCTTTGTTGAGGTTTTGTTTTTATCAGGGTTTTTGTGTGTGTGGCTTACATTTAAAGAAGTTTAAGGAATGTTACGTGTATCTAGCCCCCCACTCTCCCACTCCCCTTCTCAACTCCCTCACAAAACTTCCGTTAGCCGCTCCTGTTCTCTAGCTCCTCTGGTTGCTTAGGAGCGGGCTTTTTAAAGCCCTGGTCTTCCTGAGTAGCCCTGCCCCCTGGTTAAGGGCTGATGGATGCTGAATGGCATAGGGATCAAAGCCCTGTTAATAAGCTCTCAGCCTTGCCTATCAGGCTGCTTGGCTCAGCACCCACATGTTCAGCACACCGTCCTCAAACAAACAGACCACATGGTATATTTCAGTCCAGCAGCAAGCACACCACAACAAACACACACACAACAGACATCAAACTTACCCCAAGGGTCACGTAATTGCTCCTCCCTCACCAGGAGAAGTCCGTTGCAAAACTCCCGTTAGCCGCTCTGTGTCGCTCAAAAGCTTGTATCTCTTACCAACAAAAGTTGGTCCAATAAAAGATATTACCTCACCCATTTTGTTTCTCTAATTTCCAGTACCGTCAGTCTGGCACTTTTCAGAACCACTAGAATACTAATAAACAAACAAGCAAGCAAAAAGCAAAAAAAAAAAAAACCCAACCAAACAAAACAAATAAAAAAACCTAGTACAGCTGAACTGAGTGTCTTCTGTTTTACTTTTTTAGTTCAGAAATGAATCCAGTGAATTCTTGAAAAATTCACTATTGGAATCTGAGAGTGCGTTCATTGGTGAGTTTACTCCTCTATATTTAGCAGTATTTATGTTTATGTTCAACATGACATTTGATATGGTGGTATTGTTGTTCTCAAACAAAGTGATTATGCTGCTATTTTAAAAGTCTCAAACCAGTAGACTTTTCCAGTGGAGTTGGTAATTGTCAGCACTAATTATATGTGTTGGGAAAGTCCTCTCTAACTTAAAGCGGATGTTAATGTAATCACCTACTCCTTTTTGTCCTCCTTTCTGTGCTTTGCTTTTCATCAGTGCTGTACTATATAGCTCTATTTTTACTGTAATGATTTTCAGACCTTACTGTGCCATAATAGCTTGCAGTTTTATTTTAGACATCGTATAAGAATTCTTACTTGTCCTTCAATCAAACAAGACTTTGGTAGTTGAAGTTGGAAATGGAAACAGAACAAATAGCCTAAATCCATTCTCTGTTATATGTACTACTAATTAAGATTAACAAGGCATTCAGACTAAATTGATTCCCCCGACTGAAAGTTAGCATTGTCTTTTATAAGAGCCACATCTCTAGCTGGACCTAAATTCCATTACATTGTCTTCAGATTCTGCAGCATTGTGATGCCACTGAATGAGAATTCTCCATAAGCTTCATTTTTATAAAGAATTGAAGTTTTAAAATGAGTTAAATATTACAGCTTATTTTGTTATCAAATTCCATTTATTTTATGCTCTCCCCACATTTTAAACTTTCAGTACATCAGATATTTGTATTGAAATTGTCCAGGTGAACCTGGATGTTTTGGCAAGTTGATAGTGGACAATGGGACTTTTGGCACCTGGGGAGCGATGGCAGGCAATTTGAGATTGTGTGATAAGCAAGTTATCTGGATGTTTCTGCTAAAATGATCAGCAGTGAACTACATAACAATATTGATAGATAAATATTCTTTTGTTAGATTTCATAGGGCTTGGTCTGCACTTAAAAAAAAATCAGGCCCTGCAGCTGTGCACCACTATAGTGCTTATGTGAAGAACCTACCTACACTGTTAGGAGGGGCTCTTGAAGGAAATCTGCTTCCCCATCAAGCTAGTGCTATCTACCGGGGGTTAGGCTGGTTTAACTGCGTCGCTCACTGGGGTGAATTTTTCACACTCCTGAGCAACGTAGTTATAGTGACCTAATTTTTTAGGTAGACTAGACCATAGTAACCTCTTGAGGTGAATGAGGCTGTTCTGAGCTATTGTTTCATGAAGCTCCATTGGCTTGTGCTTGATTTATATTTGGAAGATTGATCTTCAAAACTAGGATGATTAAAATGTGTATACATATGTATGTTTATATGTATATTGTAAATGAGCTTCGATTCTATAGCACAGTTCTTTGGCAAGGGTAGGGCAAGATGACAATTCTTCAGCAAATGCTTTATAATCCTAGATAGATAGAGGTCTCCACCATTATGCAAGATACAGAACAATTCATTCAGCAGATTCTGTTTAGAACTACAGGTCTTCCATTCTGAACTGATGTAGTACTCTGGGCCGCCCAGAGGATTCAGGGGACCTGGGGCAAAGCGGGGGAGCAGGCCAAAAAAAAGGCGCCACCCGCTGCAGCGCTTGTACTTACCGGGCAGCGCTCCGAGTCGGCGGCGGGTCCTTCAGTCGCTCCGCATCTTCGGTAGCACTGAAGGGCCCCCCGCCGACGAAATGCCGCTGATGACCCGGAGCGACTGAAGGGCCCCCCGCCGCTGAAGTGCCGCCGAAGACCCGGACCGCCGCCGGGTGAGGCGCCTCTAGCCAGGAAAGGGATTCTCAGCCAGGGCTCGCGGGGCCCGGAGCCTGGGGCAAATTGCCCCACTTGCCCTCCCCCTCCCCCCGGGCGGCCCTGGTAGTACTTAAAAAGTCACAATCTTGAAATCAGCTCCTTCCATCAGTGTTAATGTATTTTGCATAAATGCGAAACTTGGGGATTCTTGATTTCTGGCTCAAAAGGGTTAAATAATGATGCACATACAATCACAATTTTAAGCTGCCTAGATTAGATACAAGCTTTTTCTACTCTTCATGCATCACTTATTACGGTAGATGACTTTCAGCGTTGTTCTTTAAAATGACATGCCTCCACTTGATATCTTAGAGGATTCTATATAGAGGAATATTTGTGAGGCACATTAGGGTTACAGTCTAGTATGTGCTTCTTTAAACTCTTGATATCTATGTGTAAACGTGAAATTATATTTTTCCTCTCTTTGTCATGTTCATTTATCACATCTTGTTTCAAATTAGACTGTAAGTGCTCAGGACAAAGGCCATGTCTTCCTGGAATTTGTATACAGAACTCAGTATAACATAGCCCGTGACCTGTTTGGGCCTTTGGGTGCTGGCCAGTATAGCTATCAGCAGGAATACTTTCTTGGGCATAAGGGTGCCACAAATTACCCTTTCCTATCACCAAAAGGTCAAAAAGCCTGCAACATTTATTCTTTATGACATAGAGGAAATATAGAAGTTTTATGCCTGTAGATTGTTTTATGAAGCTAAGAAACCCTATTTATTCTGTATTTCCCCCCACACCCAACCTATGGGTAATCACTGTCTTTGGCTCCAGGTAAGGGGGAAGAAGGGTGTCAAGTTTTTTGTCAAATGTGAATTTCACATTAGGAAACAGTCAAACTCATTGTGTTAATATATAAATATTGGAGAGCATGATATAATCTGACATTAGATGCACAGGATCTAATCAGTCTTTCCCATCTCTTTGATTCTATGAGTAGCCTGCACCAATCTCTCCTCACTCTAGGAGATGTTATTTATTATTTACTTATTAAGTGATGAAAGCATGCTCAGTGCTGTACCAAATGTAAATATTGAGAGTACTTGTATAGAAGACAGACATAGAAAGACAGAGAACCCAGAAAATTCTGAACAGTCATCCAAGAGGAGCAATGGGGGCAAAATCTTTAGCTGGCTTCAAGACTGAGCTTGGTAAGTTTACAGAGGGGATGGTATGATGAGATTGCCTACAATGGCATGTAACCTGTCTGCGACAGCTAGCAGCAAATATCTCCAATGGCTGGTGATGGGACACTGGATGGGGAGGGCTCTGAGTTACTCCAGAAAATTGTTTCCCGAGTGTCTGGCTGGTGGGTCTTGTCCACATGCTCATGGTCTAACTGATTACCGTATTTGGGATCAGGAAGGAATTTTCCCCCGCGTCAGATTGGCAGAGACCATGGGGCACGGATCAATTGCAGGTTTAAACTATCGTCACTGGTGAATTCTCTGTAAGTTGAAATCTTTAAATCATGATTTGAGGACTTCAGTAACTCAGCCAGCAGTTAGGGATCTATTACAAAACTGGATGGATGACGTGTTGTGGCCTGCGATGCACGGGTGGTCAGACTAGATGATCACGATGGTCCCTTCTGACCTTAAAGTCTATGAGGATGCCCTGGGAAACTCAGAGGAAGTGGTCACACTTTTTAAAATCTAATAATGCTGATATGGAGATACTCCATCTAGAGACAAAAAACAGAGTATGTTCCCAAGAAGAACTTGCAATCAATCTAAAAGTCCAGCTAAGAGCAGGGAATGTGTTTAACAGGAACAGTACACTAGATTTTTAGTTGTGGTGACATAGTTTCAAATATTAATCAATATGTGATATCTAGGCAGATGACTAGTGAGAGTGAATTTTGTGGTTTTGTTATAATCCCCATTTGTGCACATCCCAAAACCACCGTACAACAAGCAAAGGTCAGAACTAGTATGGAGGGCATGCAAGTCTTTTCTCCCATTCATCTGCACTTACCATGTCCGTATAATATTGGAGAACAAATGCCTGTCTTCTGCGTCAACAAGCAAGAGAGAGGAAGATCTGCCTCCCTGTGTGCAGAAGTGGTAAGCCTCAGGAAGCGGTGTATCAGCAATCACATCACCGTATCAGCAGCCTGCCTTCTGGGGAAGCAGAATATGCTCACAGACTTCAGCAGACACTTGCACTCACCCACGAATGGAAACGTCACAACATGGCGCTGCACACCCCAACCAGAGATCTATTCGCTTCTCAGACAAACAGCAAATGCACCACATATTGCTCCAGAGGAGCCCCCGGTCACCACTGCCAGAGCGATGCGCTGCTTCTTACCTGGTCAGACCAGTTCAACTATGCCTTTTCTCCGATGCTGATCCTGCCACAAGTTCTACACAAGATCTGACAAAACATATTAAGGCCCCCTTCTGGCCCAGACAGTTCTGGTTCCCCAACCTCCTGTGTATATCATTTTGCCCATCTGTTATCCTCCCAATATTCCCTGGGTTCCTGACCCAATGCAATGGCAAGATCAAACACCCCAATCCATGACCACTCCACCTCAGGGCGTGATATTTGGATGGGCAGGATCCCTAGAACATTCATGTTCCTCATCTGCATGAGACATCCTCTCTAATAGCAGAAAAGACTCCGCTAGGAAATGTTACCTATCTAAATGGAAATGCTTCTCATCTTGGACACAACAAAGAGGCGTCCTACCAGAGATTACAGATATTCCTCTCATTTCAGACTATATCCTATCTTCGAAGACCTCGGGTCTATCCATCAGCTCTTTATCAGTCCACTTAGCAGCGATTAGTGCATACCATTCACCCGCTCGAGGCTACTTGATTTTCACATACCTACTAAACTATGAATTCTGGAAAGACTTTCCTGCCTACTCAGAAGAATCCACCCCAATAGGACCTGAATCTCGTTCTCTCAGTGCTAACAAGACCCCCCCGCCCCTTTGATCCTTTAGCTACTTGCTCCGTGTCCCTCCTGTCCATAAAGTTCACCTTTCTCGTAGCTATTACATCAGCAAAAAGGGTTGGTGAACTGGGAGCAATGACGGCAGACTCTCCATAAACTGTATTCTGTAAAGATAAAGTTTCTTTGCATCATACCCCAAATTTATCTCCAAAGTAATTTTGGAATTTCATCTTAACCAATACATGAACTCACTTGTGTTCTTCCCAAAACTGCATGCTTTCTCAGAAGAACAAAGAC